CACGGGGAAACTTATATACGTGATTTGTGGAGGTGACCCCTGGAGAGAAAGAGAGGGGGGAGGGGCCGGCGCCAGTGGAACGAATAAATTGACTTCGGTCAATTTTTTAGCATTCGCCGAACAATCGTAGCTCTCTTTCTCCCCTTCCGTCCCCCTCTCGTCATCTCTCGGACGGTTCAACGCGGCGGTCCCGATTGTATCTCACGGACGGGCTCGGTGGAAATATCGACTCCTGGTTATCGGTTCCGCGAAGATCGTTATTAAATTCATGAGTCGTGTTAGCGACGAAACGCGACCCCTCCCTCCTTTCCTCCCTACGGTCGCTCAGCTTGTTGTATTTATGTATACAGTGGCCCGTGTCGTTACCCGTCGACCTCGCGGACGCTCCTCGCGCGTGATTATTAGCTGCATCACGGCGTTCGGTGGCGCGCGGAATCTGCGTTATTAGGCCGACAATAGGCGGAAATAATGATTTTCGAAGCGCGCGTCCGACATCGGTGACGGGGAGGAGGGGGGAGCGATTCAAGCCGCCAAGGCTTGTGTGTACCAGTGCAAGTTTTTGTGCCTCGCCGGCAGCAGCGTGAAAGCCGATACATGTCCGCGGCTTGCATTTTGTATCGGCTTTCACGAATATCAGAGCGCCTCCCCCCTCCCCCCCCTCTCTCTCTCTTTCTCTCTCTCTCTCGTTGCTTGAAACTTGACGTTAACCGCAAATGGCTGGCAGATGCGAGGTTCCACCGGCATTCGTCGGAACGACAGGACAAAAGACGCGGCGGAGAAAAGGACGAGCAGATCAGGGGGTTGGGGGTGAATTTCCTACGATAATGGGGATCCTATTGCGTATCCCTTCAATCGGCAGGTTTTCACGGATCCTATCGCGGAAAGACGTTCCCAAAGAATTGCGATCTCGGGAAATGTATCGAGGAATATTCAGAGCGAGCACGTAAAGATCGTAAACGACGCAAATTACACGGCGCAAAGTTACTCGCTCGCGTCGTTAGCGCGTATCGGCGCGTATCCCCACCGCGAGTCAACATATTAGCAATAGGTTAATCAACTTTGGATCAACCAATTTCGGGATGTCGACTTTAGAAATTCGGGAAACAATGAGAGAATTTTTTTATTGACACGTCAAATTATGAAATATTATGGTTGAATAATGACTAATTACTCTGTTGAAGGTTAAGTTAAACAATTAATTACGTTCGACTTAACTTAGTTAATTTTAAATGAGTTACATTTTCATTGAAATTGGTTCATTTAAAATATATTAAGGTTAGCTTATTAATTTTTCTTATATAAGTTAAAAGAATTCATCAGTATTAAAATCATCGCCCTTCCGGGCTGCTTATAATATAAAATAAAATAAGAAAAATAAAAATATGCCAGCAGAATTGTTGAGCGCTGGTGTGTTTCTTTATATATATATATATATATATATATATATATATAATCCTGAACATAAAGCAACGGTACTTTCTTACAATATACCACCTTTTCTTTATTTACCGTAAATTTAATCTACGATGAAAAACGGTGCAAAGTTACTCGGTTACAAATACGGGCGCATATCTGCTCGTGTTCTCTCCGCGAATCGGGGGCAATCGCGAGGATCCCGACAACAACAGCAGGGCAACAACAAGATACAACAACAGTAGACGATCGATCGATCCTCCGGCCGGACAAGGTTCCCAAAGTCGAGTTTAATCACTGACGGTTTTAATGGCGCTGCGCACAGCGGACAGCCTTATTAAATCTTTTCTCTCCAGGCCAATTATCCGCTCGTGCTTTTCCCGCGGCGTCCCCGACAGACGGATGGACCGGCGAATCTGTCGCGAGCCCCCGAAATCCCTAATCCGTCCCGCCCGAATCGTCCTGGGATCTTCAACTTTGCGCGTCGTGCGATTGGAATCGAACGGCTAATTTTGGAAAGCGATAACCGAGTGAAGCCGGGAGTTGATGGGAGTTACGGGACACACTCGGCCCGTTTAATTTCGGAGGCAATCAGAGAAAGAGGACGGGATGTGGTGCCTCTATCTAGCCGTCCGTCGATCCATCCGCGTCCACTCTTCTCCCTCTCCCCCCTCTATCTATCTCTACTTCACCCTCGGTCACCCTCCGCTCGCCTGATCTCTCTATATCAGCTGTATGCCCGTCCATCTGGCTTCTTCTTCTCTCCCTCCCTCTCCACTCTCTCTCTCTCTCGCTCTCGCTATATCTTCCTCTCACACCACCGTCCCGGTCAAGCGGGACGAATGTAACGCCCGACAACATGACGTTAATTCGTTTCTACGGCAAGACGTATGATGCTTCCCGATAATGGCCTTGCTTCGGTATTGCGCCCGCTTGCTCATTGGCGTTGCCGCTGTATCTCTCTGACCCAAATTGTATGCACCGGACGCGAGAAGGGCACCGGAATCGATTCATCGGCATCGATTGGCATTGATACGCCACGACGATAATCAACATCCGAATGAGCAAGACGACGATGTTAGCGCGCGCACACACACGGGAACGTGCGTCTTTCTCCCCTGTTTCGCTCGGCGACCGGTGGTAGGACGCGATGCGCGCGATATACGCGTGTGCAGTAACCGGGGTGAGGGGGAGGGGGTGTACCGCCGGGCAAATATTAAAATACATCGAACTCGCGCGAGCGAACGAGCGCAGGCGAGCGCGCGGACTATTCTAAATGTTGGTCAATAAATATTTGCAGTTGCGCCTCGTCGTCGTCGTCGGTAACCGACCGCGGTTGCTTGCGACGCGCGCACACATTCGCCGACTCGAATTACATAAATCAGTTACAGAGCGGCGGTGGCGGTGGTGGTTGACATTGAGTGGCAATCGAATGCGCAAAGCTCGAATAATTATCGCTAGCCTTCCAATAAGTGAGGTTCGATTGCGGCCATTTAATCACATTTAAATATATAGTGCAATCAGCCAGATTATAACTGCTCGTTGTTCGCGGCGCTCTTCAAATCGTATTGTTATTGAAATTCGGTATCGCGAGTAGCCAGTCCGCCCGCGAGCGCTAGATTTTAGCGCGCGTGGTTTGCGATCGTATTTTTGCCGGTCATTCTCGCATAGANGAGAGAGAGAGAGAGAGAGAGAGAGAGAGAGAGAGAGAGAGAGAGAGAGAGAGAGAGAGCGTGCGTGCTTGACGAGTAAATACTGAATTCTATAAAGTGAATGTCCCAATCAGTAACAAAGTAATCCTCATCGTGAGAATAAATCAATAAATTAGTGATATGGATGTTAAGCTAAGCGCATAAAATTGATTTGGTTCGAAAGTTTGAACGTTTATAATTCTAATCGTATTACCATATTTCTTTTAATTTAAGGTAGGATTCGAATGAATTTATAATATCTCCTAAAAAGTGACGGAAGTATCATTTGGTGACATATAACTTCGATTTTCTCCCAATTCGTAAATATTCTTTCCTCGACACGACGATTTCGGGGATTTCTTCTCAGTTTACCATTTATCCCTTCATCTCGGCCCCGTCTTTTCGACACGGCGCCAAACATCCCAATGCAGCACAGAAGTTCAGTACTGCGCGTAAACAGCTTCGGCGACGACCGGCGTCCGTTTGACACCCGCTCGACCGCCGTGCGACGGTCTCGTTTCTTGCCGCCGTCGCGATTGAATGCGCTAAGTACACTTCCCTATCTTTGACCTGAATCGCGCCCGGCGGCCGGATGCTCCGATCGTCCGCGTTGAGTGACATCGGGATATGGGATCGTCCGATAATCGCTCTTTTAATTGTACTGCCTCCCGGCCTCCCCCTCCCTCTCGTATCGATCGCTCGCCACTGTCGTGGCGATCTCGCGAGGTCGTGGGTAACACTGCATACTCGATATTCGCGACTCGACCGTCATTCCGCGCGCTCGCGAAAAATAAACGGTATCGACGTTTCGGGAAACTAGGTCTAACCCCTGGAAAAGTTGCCGTTTCTCCGGCATTTTTTATGACCGTGAGCGAGCAGAGAGAAAAAGAAGCGGGAAAAGGGGGAAGGAGAGGGAGGAGAGGGACCGGTTAAAGTGAAGAACTTGTTAAAACGATTTTTCCCAGTTTTTTCTCTCTCTCTCTCTCCCTCTCTCTCATACACACACATACACACACACACACACACATATACACACATGCCATATGGTGCATTAATATAACGCGTTTAATAAGAACGGCCACGTAGTCGGTGGCGGTTTATATGTGACCCGAATTGCATGCACCGGATTCGAGATTGCTGCGATCGGCATTGATTGCCCCGGAAATTCCTGCTTATTACGCCTGGGACGCCAGCAGAGCGTCCATTAATGTTTCGCTTTGCGGATATTAAACGCGATTATTTCATTGTCCGAAGTGTTCGACGCGAGAAGAGGCAAAGAGAGAGAGAGAGAGAGAGGGGGGGGGGAGAGGGTGAAGGGGAAGAGAGGTCGAGAGCGAGGTTGGTGAATCGAGTGAAAAAAAAAAAGAGAAGCGAGCGGCGTGCGTCACCGCGTCCGATCCCTCGAACGCAGCTATTCAGCGCGCTCTTCACGCTCTAATCCGAGGATCGACGTTGATGACGACGCCAGCGCGCGCGCACGAAACAACATCGCGGTACTTCGCAAACGACCGGCGGGTGGATAATTAGCGGATAATAGAGACGTGGCTCTTCCTCCTCCCCGCTTTGGCCGGAGTCGCCAAGTTAGGGCGGATTGCTCGCCTTACGGCTGATTCGCTAATGATCGATCGGCATTGTTCATCGGGTCCCGCGGTCGGAAGGAAACTTATTACGCTTATTAAGGTCGACTTCCGACCGTTGCGGTGGGGGGTCATAGGAAGGATGAGGAGAAGAGGATGAGGGAGGAAAGGGACAAGCAGGCAGTCGTCGTCGGCTGTCACAAAAGAGCAACGTCGACCGCTGCCGACGGCTAATTAGATGAATAAAGTAATTCCACTTTTCGAGCGATAGAACAAAAAGGCAACCCTGAAACCCTTCCCTTTTGCTTTTCTTTTCCAGGTGCGGAGGATGTGTTCAGGTTTACGGGAAACGAGACGCACACAGACTACTTTCGGCTGGTGCTCAGGGACGGGAACTATCTTTTGGTCGGCGGAAGGTAAATAGAGGATTCATTTGGAGCGAGTGCTTTAATTAAAGGGTCGCTTCTTTTTCTACTTCTTATACTTCCCTTCTCCTCCTCCTTCACCCCCCTTCCGTACACTTCTCATGTCTTCTTCCTCCTCCGTCTCCTCTCGATCTTTCCGCCGTTCCGCCGCTTATCTTTCCCTCCCGACGTATCGTTGCGGCTCTGTGCGCTCGAGCGCGTGAAATCGACGAGGTGATCCCGAGGTAACTCGATAAAGAGAGAAATAGAGAGGGAGAGAGAGAGATAGATAGAGAGAGAGAGAGAGAGAGAGAGAGGAGAGAAGAGATCGAACCATGTAATCTCTTCTATATATTCCGTGTAAACTCGTTTTATCGCGTAAATTGGAAGTCCGCGAGTATTTTTTTAATCCGGTCCATTCGACTTCTCCCGTGACTATCGAAGTCGATCTGAAATTCTGTCGACATACTTCGCCGTCGAGCGGCGAGAGAAGTATTTGCCGAATATGATTTGTTTCTTTTTCTGTTTTTTTCAAGTCAACAGTTTTTCACACCCCGCTAAAGTTACGTGTATTCCGGGGAATCGTAAAGTACGCTCGGAACGGAGCGCTTGTGAGCTTCGGATTTCGGATTTCGGCGATGGAGACGAAAAACGCTCCGCAATTGCAGGGTGTTAATTATAGATACATCACCGAGGTTCGCGGCGTGTCACTAAATAATTATGAATTTTCTATTTGACAGCGATATCGCTAATCGCGTCGCACACAATCTTCGAATGCATTACTGATCGGCCCACGTTATTCTCGCCCGGTCGCGCTACTTCAAATTCTATTATAATTTTATCGCGCGACATCCATTATACAAAGGGGGGATCAGTATATCAAAGCAGAAATACCGGGACATTGAACGAACGAACGAACGAACGAACGAACGAACGGATTTACGCAGGCTTCCCGCGCGAAGCTATCTTCCGTAACATCAACGCGTGTCGCCGTGTAAATAACCTTCGTTAAGTCAAATTACGCTCGTCGGGCAATAAAACAAGCAATCGTGCTCGACGCACATAATTAAATCATTGTTGTACAGCGCCGGGCCGTGATACGAGATAATTAATCACGTCAAACACAACAATAGATGTCACATTATCGCGACTGTTTGACCATATTCGATCGATTGCCGGTAATCGACGCGAATTAAACCTTCAAGTCTTCATGAGTCCCTTGCGACATCACGTCAAAAATGTATACATATACACGTACATAAAGCCGTATATACACTGGTGGAAAATTACAGTTGATTTCGGCGCCAAACGCACCCTTTAACCGCGAAAACAGTCAGGAAAAGGATTCTCCTGACTATTTTGCATTTGAAACAATGTACTTATTTAGTTAACGTACTTATTTAGCTAAACTCTTTATTGAACTAAGCTAAAGATCGAAACACAAAAAAAGAGAGAGAGAGAGAGAGAGAAATGACTGCTTATCATCTAATATCTGTTAGATACATTTTTCCCTTATTCTCTAGCTTTGAAAATATTCAAGATGGTAACAGTTACTGCCTCGCCCTGTATATCTCGTCGCGTTCCTCCCATGCGTATAGTACCACGCATCGCGCACACGAGGCCGCTCCGCGACGATATGCGCGGCGCATCCTAATTACAGCTATCAAGGAGAACGTCTGTAGTTGCGTATCGTATCTCGGGAACGAGTACAATGTAAATTAATTGCAAACGCGGGACGTCACGGTGGTAAGAATACCGCGCTCGCTCGGCTGCACGAGAACGCAAATGCGGCCTTTGGATTCGTCATTAGGGAACGTATTCAGACGGACTCGATCTGTGCCCCCGCACGATCGATTAGCGCGCTTTCTTTTTCTATCTCACCCCCTCGTCCTCCCAACCTCCGTCCCCCTTCGTTCCCATGTTCCCGCGGTTCCCCTCCGCCCCGCCTTCCCTCTCTCCTCGCGTGGAATCCTGCGTGTACGCAGATAAATCAATTCCGTGTCTCGCGTATTGTGCCGAATACGCGCTATTCGCTACGTTGAAATCAGTCAGCAGAAGCGACGATAATCAGGTCGTACGCAGATTAAACGCATTGTGCGTGAATGAACTCTGATACATATCCAGGCTCGTTCGTTATTGATCGGATTACACTAATTGCTCGGCCGATTTGCCGAGCGACGCCGCCGCCGCCGCGAACGATGACGACGACGAACGTCGTCGGCGTGAACACCGTGCGTGCGTGCCGGCGAAAACGTGCGTTTCTTCCGCGCTAATGACGGAGTTGCGGACGTGATCGCGGGGTTCCTCGCGATTAAAACGCGGCAGCCGGCCAATAGTCGCCGAAAATCCCCCCGTTGCGATCGAGACGCGCGCGTCGCACACACACACGCGCGGATTCTTCCCCTTTAAGCGCCTCTCTCAGGGCACACGCGGGGCCGGTCGCTTAACGAAGAAGAGTTTAACGATCGGCTGCCGAAACTTGGTGCGAGAACGCTTCCCTGGCTAACCAGGCAACCTCGCTCGAGCGAGAGCGCGCACGGCCGTCGTAGACGTCTACTTTAGGCGTCTAACTTGGCGACTTAGAGGAGAAACTTTTTCTTCCCGCTCCTAACCCAACGCGCCCACCGGAATACTTGGAGATTCGCCGCGACAATGGGGAGAGAGGTATCAATGGCCCGCGCTCTCCTTCGCTACGAGGCGAGCTCGGTAAGCGATTAGCGATCAGCGCGCGTCTACGGCAATAACGCGGTGTTCTTGTGACGACGATAGGGAACGGGCGAAAGAACTCCGCTCACAAAGACGTTTCCTCGTTTTTACCCGAAATTCTGGCCCTACGTTAAATCCTTAATTCTGCAACATAGTGGGAGTTAAGATAGTAAAATAGGTTCGATTTCAATTCGAATAATAGAATATAACCTCTACTTTGGGCCGGATGGTGTCTTGAATTTCCGACGGTGCGAAACGAAAGATAATTCTCTCATAAAGAAATTATTCGTCTCATTTTACATATTTAACATTCGGTTAAAAGGTATTATTTCAAGTAACGGCGTTCTTTCGGTTAAACGATCGAGTTTTCCTCGAACGAGACGATAAAATCTCTACTCAAACAAATAATATTTCGTATATGTTGTTTCTCTGAGAGAAATTATAGTCGAATAAATAGAAATACAAAATCTAAGGGAACCCCTTTCCCTGTGTACCTTAACAAGATGCGTATTGCGCGCTGACGTAGTACATACCGCACACGGAGTGTCTTGGGCATCAATGACCGAGTGGTGGGACGGTATCAGCTGACCGTGTCGAGAGTGGGGGTAAGTCCGCATTCCGTAATGCCGTAAACGTAAACACGTTACGGCACGTTGGAATGCGGTTGCACCGCCGACCAGCTCGATTGGGTCCGCCCGCTCGTCGAGCGAGACTGAGAACGCGGCTCGATAGATTTTTATCGATATCCCGGTCTCTAACGACTTGAGATAAAGATCGTTGTAGAGCTGAAACTTCGGCGCATCTGGTAGGCGCACAGTCATGCTTCGTCGAGATAAGGATAGATTAGCGAAATTAGATTCCCATGATAGAAAATATCGATCGTCTCTGGATTGAAGTTGAATTTAATCTACGATGAGACCGAGGAACCTCGGCCGTGAATTGGTAATCCGAATGCGGGACGGACAAAAGAAATCGGTTTACATAAAAGAATCCTGTGATTTTGTTCAAAGAAACAGCGTAGCTGCGTTTTGCAGGCCCGAGGTTCGAGGTTTGTATTGGCGTCTATCCGCTGAATATAACAGCTGTCGTCGAATATAAAAGCTATTTCGAATAAAAAAAGTCATTTATGAGTTGCAAAATGGTAGAGGATTTTCTTGTTCACATCGATCTGAACTTATATTTATATATACGACGGATGTCCCGCTTTTTATATCGATGTACTTTTGGAAATAATACACTCAAAGAACGGTAAATTCTGTTAAAAAAGAAAAACGCAACATTTCTCTCCCCCTACTTTTATATTTCCACGCTTAGCAAAAAATGTACTTTTATCAATCCGTCCCAGTTACCAGAAAATCGCGCATGCCTGTTAAATTTAAGCTAAAATCCAAAAGAGTTACCGAGAGATTCAGGAATTAAATTCACGAATTAAATCCACGAATTAAATCCACGAATTAATAATTTTCCGTTGAACTCTCTCTTCTTATCTCTCTGAAGTCCGATCGCATCTCGATCAATTTGAACGGGATGAAAAACGAGCGAAATCTATGAAGCGCGATCTCTTCCACGGAGAAAAAGTCTAGTCTCATTATTTCGACCTTCATTCACCACGTGATAGACTCGACATGTCTCTCTTTCTCTCTCTCTCTCTCTCTCTCTCTCTCTCCGAAGACGGAGGAATCAGTCCCTGTTTTCTTAAATATACGGACTCGTACGCATCATTTCAGAAATCTGGTGCACAACCTGAGCCTGACGGACCTGACGGAACAGCAGAGGCTGACCTGGTACTCGACGGAGAACGACGTGAAGATGTGCGTGGTAAAAGGCACGCCCGAGGAAAACTGCCAGAACTACATACGCATCCTGGTGAAGACCGGGCAGAACAATCTGTTCGTGTGCGCGACCAACGCCTTCAAGCCTATGTGCCGCGACTACACGGTGCACGCTGGCAACTACTCGATGGTGAAAGAGAAGCCCGGCCAGGCGAGGTGTCCGTACGACCCGCAGCACAACAGCACCTTCGTCTACGTGGACGGTGAGCTCTACACCGGCACGGTCGCCGATTTCGCGGGGATGGACCCGATCATCTACAGGGAGCCGTTGCAGACCGAGCAGTACGACTCGATGAGTCTGAACGGTGAGTGAAAATGATCCGCCATAGTCGATCAAACCCGCGCCGGGTGATTGATGACGGCTTAATGACGATCGGCCGGCCCCCGATTTACATTGAAAGTCGCGACCGGTTAACTCGCCGCCGCCGCCCGGCAGCGATCCGACTCGGCATATCAATTTTCATTTTCGGCCCAGTCGCGCTCGGCGCCGTTAATTCGACGGCGACAAATACGCGGTTTGTTGTAGTCCGCCGCTGTTGATGATCGCGAGTATAGATATTCGTTTTCACCACGCTGCGCGCCTCGAAACGCGCGTACGGAGAGAAAGGATGTCGCGCGAGGAGGACGGCGTGGGTTTTTACCGTCGTTTCAGAACAATGCCCACTGGTATTGTCAATTTTAACTACCCGAGTCTTTCAGTAATTGAATATACAGCTAATTTCAGACATTATTATTATTATTTGTTGTCGTAAAGATCGATAATTCATTCGAAAATAGCCGTATACACTGCAAATCGTAGTGTGTTTTTAGCTGTCTTCCTTACACATTTCTTGTCGCTTTAAATCATATTATTTAACACGATTGGACATGTTAACTTATAATTCAGCACAATTAAACATTCTAAATTGCATAATTAAAAAAAACGGCAAGAAACATGTGAAAAGAGCTTCAGTCAAATGTGTCATTTATAAAGGTTTATACGTGTAAAAATTCAGATGTCTATCGCAACTTCGGATAACTGCGATTACAGCAGCTCTTTGTCCTGCAGCTCTTTCTACTTTACTCTCTTTGAATCTCTAAATTCTATCGAAATGTTAAAACTCCAATGAAAAATGAAAATAAACAGATCTCGTAAACAGAGTGTTTGCCATTTTATTATATTTATCCATTGGCCATTTTTATTAGATTATTTGATATTTATATTATTATTTTTTTATTTGTTTATTTGATTGATTTAATTGATTAATATTTGCTTTTTGCACGTATTTTCTATTTGCAGTTAAACAAGTTATGTAATTAATACACCGTTTATTAACATTAAAGGTAGAGATAAAATAAAAAGAGAAAATATTGAAATAATCGAATGTCAAATAATTCCTAAACGAGTCTTTTTTTAAGTTTTAATATGGAAAAAAAACGGTAGTAAATAATCATTTGTAACATTAAAACAGGAAAATAATCTGTACGATTCTCGAGATTCTCTCTATTGATCTTTTAAATTTGATGATATTTCTAGGATTGATGTAAGACCAAAATTTCGGGTCAGATTTTCAATTCTTTCGAAATACACCGAATACAAAACACGGTGGTGTCTTCACAAACATCAATTTTAAGGGTCGGCAGATCGAATCACGATTAGACCGAGCTAATTAGACGCCACGAATAGCCTATAATCCGAGATCCAATTAATTCGATCGTTTCTCATTGCGAGGACTTGTAGCGAGAAAAAGAGGAGGAGAGACAGAGAGAGACAGGAAAAGAGAAGGAGAGAGAGACACTTTATTCGCATTACTTGGAAGTTTGCGCTTCTGTATCGACACTCGGTCCCGACGCTTCGCGAACTTTGCATTTCTTAACAATAAGACAATGGTCGCATTTATCGAAAGTATCTGCACAAGTTTATTCGAAATAAAGTTGCCGACATTCACATTAATCGGACTAAAAAATAAGGAAAGTTTCGAACGGGTGAATTGTGATCAGCCGATATTTAATAAAAATGATCGGCACACATACACACGCACACATACACAGCAGTAACGAGTTATTTTTCAGAAGTAACCTTCCCAACCCTGGAAATCAAACGTACGATGTCCAGACTCTTATTATAAGGACTCGAATTTTGCGTCCTTCGCTGAGAGAAAAATATAGTTATTTTCGAAGACAGCAATATCCTTTTTTATTTATAACCACGAAAATAGTAGTAGTAACATACACGTAAGAGGTTATTGTCATTGACATTATAGTAACATTTATTAGAAAATTTATAGTAACGTTTACTGGTTCGCTCGCCTATTTTTGTGGTCGAAATGAAGAAAGGATATCGTTGTCCCCGAAAATATTTTTTTCTCAGCGTTCGCGTCGAGCGGTCGAGTCGAGGCTGCGCCACGACCGTCATCGTTACCACGCGTCGTTTGACGTCCGATTTTTTTAGTCCGCGCTCGTCAATTCCTTGACGCGACCGTCGGATCAATTATTCGCGGAACACCGTGATCACCGTCCCCCGATCTGATCGCGTCGCCGACGATCGCGCTCGCGCTTCCTTCGCGTTTCCCTCACGAGCGTTATCGGTCGGACGCGCGTGTCTGAACGTTTGAAAGTCACGACAGCTGCCGCATAATACATATCCGTGTCCATTAAAGTTCACCTGCGAGTTCGATTTAATATTTACACGCCAAGTTCGGAGCCGGAGCGCACGTCGACTCTGAAAACGCAGAAGAGAGCACGCGTCTCCCCCTCCCCCCTTCTTACCTATCTCTCACACACACTCTCTCTCTCTCTCTCTCTCGCTCGCTCGTTCCTCGGGAAATTATTCACAAACGTCGCGATCGAGCGTCGCGACCGTGCGCCGTGTCTCCTAATCCACACGATGTAATTCCTAGATTAACCGCGCGTGTACGTGGTTTCGTAAGCTTCTCTCATCCCCTCTCCCTCGGTACTTGGCCCGAAGATTATTCCGCGGATCTTCCGGTCTCGTGTAACGATGCGGGGGGTGGTGGCCCATCGGCTCGAAATTTGCCCCCGAGATTGTAATACGGCCGCCGGCCGCGCGCCGGTCTAATCTCGGATATCTCGCGTATCACGACGATGGAGAGTTACGCGAGACCAATTATTTGACTCTTAATCGGCCGTTATCGCGAAACGCGCGCTCGATCGGACGCGGAATTTCGCGGGACCGGTCTCGCGTTTCTGAGCGCTTCCGCTCACGAGACAACGCGTTCGTTTCAGCGTTTTCGTCACGTATTGGACAGAGTGCTCTAATTCATTTTCGCACGTACCTTCGCTATGTAGAAGCATTCGTAATTCTGTGCACCCGTTAAAACGCCAACTTTGCAGAAAACAATTAGCATTCTGTAAAGTTTTCAAGTATGGCATCCACTTAACATTAAAAGTGCCAACATTTTTTACTATAAAAGGATCAAGTAATTTTCCACCGCAGATATAAATTCTTAATATTTCACTAGATTTTAGCACATACATTTGTTAGGAAATAAGGGTTAGTGAAATAATGAGGAAGAATATATTTTCAATTTAGAAAATCCGAAACTTTGCAGATCGTCTCACTTTAAAAGAGTGAACTAAAATGTTCACGAAACGCTGGAAACAAATCCGTGAGAGGTGCTGTGCTAATTCAGAAGCCAAATAGATATTGTATATGTGCGTAAAATATGTAGTAAAAAATGTAATACGAGTGAAATATAGAAAACTAGAATATGTAATATTTACCTTTTATCGTTGATGTTGCAAAATTTTATTTTAAAATATTAAATACTAATATCAATGGATATATTTTCCTGGATTATTTTTCCCAGCACAAAGAGTTAAGTTGAAAAGCAACTTCGGCAGTCGGTTACAGGCAGTCAACGTGTTCTCAAGTCAATTAAATATCGTCAGGAACGTGCGGACTTTGTAAACTTTTGCAATTGAAATATCCGAATCTTGCATCAGTCAATTGTTGCACGTGAGTCAATTGCCAAACAGTCAATCTATTGTGCTTTCTGTACAACAATGTACTTTTCTTATTCTCATCCACAAAACTTTCCAGTGAATTATTACAGCAAATATTTGACAGCAAGCTGTCATTTTTGTCCGCTTGATATTCGTAAGTAGTCGTATGAATTGTTATGAAAATACAGAAAATTACGTGGAACTAAATTGTTGTATTTCATCGGAATAAGAAGAGTAATTGACGAAAAGTCGTCAGATTTTTAAATCCTCCTTTTTACGCAGAAAATAGGATGTTAATCTAAAAAGTAGAAAGCAGTCAGAAATGACCGGTATCTCTCTAGTATTAACGCGAGCCAAGCGTAATTTCAATTAACATCGCCGACAAAAATTTTCAACGCGGGGGGAAGCGAGGAGGAGAAAGGGGTGGTATCGCGCTTCTCAGAACGAGACGATTTCCGTCCGGTTGAGACTTTGTGCTCGTCCGGCGGACGGACACACGCGCGCACCCGTTCTCTCTCTCTCTCTTTTTTTTCCTCTCCCTTTGTGGATTTAATAAATTAAAAACTGGTTTTCCCGGCGTAGTACCACGGTGTATTATACGAAAGTTCAAAGTACGTCATCTTCGTCGTCGCGACGTTAAAATTGATACGTCACTTTGCTCCGCCGAGGCGGACGGAGCCCGCCGTCGGTCCGTCGGGCTATTTTAATTGAACGGTGTACGAGAGCGCTAATCAAGTTTCTCCACCCGTTGGACAATATTGATTTTCTCTCCGTCCGTCGAAAATTCAATTCTATCCCGCCGCCGCCGCCGCCACACCGTCACTCCCCGCCGTTCGCTCCTACGGCGGCAGATCGCGAATCGAAAATCTCCGGACGCGCACACCGGCTCGCGGATCGCAAACGTCCACCGTCGGAGGAACATTTTTCTAATCGGGCGCGGAGGGAACGGGCGGGGAAGAGTGTTTCTCTTTCGGGGGCTTCGTCGCCGTCGTCGTCGTCGTTGTCGTCTCGTCGTCGCCGCGAATTTTCCACGGCACTTTGTCTCAACGGAGGTGCAGTTAAACGCGACGTGAGAGACGCGAGAGGTGGCGGCGAAGAAGCGCNGGGGGGGGGGGGGGGGAAGGCGAACGAGGAAAGAAAAGCGACGGCAGATAGAGAGCGAAGGAGGAAGATGGCGAAAGGCAGCCCGGGGAGAGAGAAGAAAAGAGAGAGAGAGAGAGAGAGAGAGAGAGCAGCCTCTCGCGTTCACAGGGGTGGGTGTGAGGTAAAACGAGGAGAATTTATGGGGCGGAGAGCGACGGGTCGTTCGGATATACCTACGTGGCACGGCGAGATTAATATTACTTTATGAATCCTAAGAAGCTTATGAAAACCCTGTCAAGTTAATAAATCGATAAAGTTTTCCCACTTTATCGGACGGCCGACCGGTACAGCGGGACCGCGACGCGGCGACGTTTTACCAGGCGACGACGGCGTTGAAATAACCGAGAGAAAAATAAAAAGGCCCCTTACCGTAGCCGGTTTATTGACGATGGATGTCGCCCGGGAGCACGTGTGCACCGGAGGTGTACGCGTGTACACGTGTATGTGTACACATATGTATGCATGTGTATGTATGTTGTTTGTGTGGATAAATAGGTGTAATATTCCCGACGACGAGCGACGTCTTATTATTGCAGCCTAAACTCTCTCGCCTCTTAGTCGTAAACCTTTGCACGACGCGTTCGTTATTTTTCTGATTCTAAATCAAGAGCAGGACAAAGGGAGAGGGGGGGAGGGGTGGCGTCGTCAATTTTTGAAAATTAACAACCGACCGATGCGTCGCTTAATCGACGTAATTACGTTCAAATAATTACTGCGACCGTCGAGATTAATAGTATAATTAAGGGGGAGAGGGGAGAGGGACGATTGTTAACATAAATAACCGGTGCTCGCAGAGGCCGTTAACTTTTCGAGACGCTCGGAACGCGCGAGAAATTAATGCCCGCCGCAAAACGCCGGGTAGAAATGGGAGTTTTTAAATAAATCGCGGTGAGATTCCCCCCCCCCCTCCCCCCTTATTTTCAGACTACTGTATGAGCGTTGTCTGGTTTATTACACGCCATCGATTGCGTTCCAGTAGGTGGTTATTACGCTCATTTATTTATAAGGGGAATTTATGGCACCATTTACTATCGAGGCGCGAGAGCGAGCGGGTGAGAGAGTGCGCGCGTTCTCGCGGCCCCGCCGACGCGAGCACGAGCGTGGAGGCGATAGTAGTTAGTAATGGCTACATATTCTAATTGCAGCGCCGAACTTCGTGAGCTCCATGTCCCAAGGAGACTTCGTCTACTTCTTCTTCAGAGAGACTGCTGTAGAATATATCAATTGCGGCAAGGTAAGGAATCACGGACGATCGATGTTCGTCTCATGTCGCTTTACATAAATTTACGCAAAATAATAAGACGCAGCGCGCGTGATTGTTAAAATCAATCGTTTATTCTCGTTTGAGGAGGTTGTAAGGTGAGTTCGCTCGGAATTCGATGAAACTCGCACTACGTGCACGTTGAAAAATACCAATCTAACTGCTCGTGCGATTAGAAAAAGATTGACCATTCGATCGATTCGGCTGAGATATTTGCAACTGAAGTTGATACTTTTTATACGCGTTCCGCGAAGGTTAGTGTGCTTTTTTTAATTTCTGTTTTTAATAAAGGAAGAGGTGGTGTTATAGCCCTTGTAGGTATAATAGCCCCTCTTAATACCCCCGCCATTAGGTGGCGAATTTTAGTGATTATTTATGGAATCGTTTGTTTAACAGCCCGCCGTTACGCGGTGGCGCTAATACACAATAGCCAATACACAAATGCCAATACACAATAGCCGGCATTTGTTATGCGTATTTTTACTTTCGAGCATTTCGAAATGTTTCCGAGGTATATTTTAACGTGTCGCGAAGCGTATTTTAAGTTTCGCGAGAATTGGGCGGCCGCTCGCACGCGTTACTCTTCCCCCGGACGATTTTTAACGTCCGGTAAGACGATTACGCCTCTCTCTCGTCCATCGTTTCGCATTGAAAATCGGCTTTCAGAGGCCCGTCATTTCCTTTCTTTTCCATACACACGCACACACCAACGATTCTCTCTGATGGCGCCGTCATTACGAGATGGCCGCCGTCGTTACGGCGGTAAAGTCGCGAACGCGCGTCAGCCTCGATTGTGGACGGAGCTTAAGTCGGGCTCGACTTATTGTCAAAGGGGCTCGCGCGTACGCTGCGGAGTTTTCTCCGTGCTCTGATAATGACGCATAATTTTATGGCGAGCGGAGGATAAATCCGGCGGATCCCGGGGAAAAAGTTGGGACGGGTATTATGGGTAAAGATTGCGATTCTCTCTCTCTCTCTCTCTCTCTTTTTCTTGGCCGCCGCCGTCGCCGCTGCTACTGCACGGCTAGAGAACGCCGCGAGGAAATTTTATGCGACTCGGAATAAATTTATAATCTCGGCGGGGTATAATAAATTATTCCCCGGGATCTTCGAAATCTTCGCGCTCCGTTTCCCCCGCCTGCTTTATATTCGTTTACGTGCCGCGTGGTTACGCGGCGTGTAACCCCCGTACGCGAGTTCTATTTTAATTATAGGTCACGCGACACACAAATCCGCCACCGCCGAAACGTCCCGCGTTTTACGCTTTATCCTCTTTACGTGCCCGGCCGTATTTTTGGCCGAATCGTAGTTCTCGCCGTGCAAGAATACGAAGGAAGTTTTACGCCCTCTCCGTGCGGAGAGAACACGCGCGCGCGTTCTCGTGGCTCACGCTAATATTGCGCCCGCGAGAAACGCGGAAGGGGGAAGAGGGAAAAGTAAAGACCGGCACTACTGGTACACTGAGAAAAAGATTTCTTCGAATTTAATCAGTTTTATCGCGTCCAAACACAAATGTCATCATCGGCATGCTCCAAAGAGACTAATGTTTCGATTAATAAGTACGATTGTTGGACTTTCCGACGGATATGCATCTTTATCTTAAATACAAAATTTGTTTGTGCGAGACGAAAGATAATTTTCCTACAAAGAAATTATTCGTTTAATTTTACATATTTATTGCGATCAAATCAGATTTTATTCAGTTAAAAGATATTACTTCGAATAATAGCATTCTTTCTGCTAAATAATCGAGTTTCCTCGAATGAGACAATAACATTTTCACTCGAACAAATAATATTTCATACATGTTGTTTCTGTGTGAAGCAAATTCGAAGTCGACCAAATAGATAGAACAAATACTAAATCTAAAGAAACCTTTTTCTCCGCGCCTGAAACTAGAATTTTCTCCTGCCCCTTCTCCCGTGCCCATTCCCCCCGGGCGTGCGACACGTTTTTGGGAGCGCGAAATTACCCCGCCTTACGCTTTCCGCACTGTGGTGAAACTTACGAGACGCAATTTTTCACGTTCGCAGGCCGTGTACTCCCGCGTAGCGCGAGTCTGTAAATACGACCGAGGCGGACCGCATCGTTTCCGTAACAGGTGGACGTCCTACCTGAAATCGCGTCTCAATTGCTCCGTCACCGGGGACTTCCCGTTCTACTTCAACGAGATACGTAAGTAAAACGGACGTGTATGTGGCCCATGAGGTGGATGGAAGGAAAGGAAGATGCGTATTGTGCGTTTCGAACTATATACTTTATTTCTCAATGGAACTTTTTCAAATGTGGTATTTAAATATCTTCGTTGGAATCGCCGATTATGAATCGGAAGTCTGGAAAAGACGAGTTTCCGTTCATTTTGACAATAGTGTCTTCAAGCGATCTCGAGTGTGTTGCTTCATCCAAATATCTTTTTACTCGCAAATGGCACGCAATATTTCTCAACGCGTCATTTCGTCACGAGTCCAATACGGCGACCACTCCTTAACGCGCCGCCGTCCGCCGGATCGGCTGATATATCGAGCCCACATCCGTTCGTTGCGGCGAACAAGACCGTCCAATATGATCCTAATACGATCACGATACGTCTCTTCGTATGTCGCGGACATGTAATTTTATATTTCGGCCGCTCCACTTTTATCGAGGCAAATGTCGATGACACAACATTTCAGACGAACGTGGAGTTGATTTTTCCGCTCGGCGAAAATGCCGAGGGAGGTCTTCGCTTTTTTTCCTCCTCCCTCGCAGCCTCGCAATTTGAAATATCACCGGGATGACAAAGATATTGGATGAAAATTCCTCCGGGATAAACGAACCGTCGATCCTTGTTACATAAATGGCTCTCTCCGTGGAACTTCGCGAAAGCGAAGAGTGCCTTCGATCTCTTCGCAACTCGAGCACTTCCGTCTCCACGTTTTCATATTGGGACTTTTATCTTCGATTCGCTCGAGGACTATCGCGTAATCTTCCGATTTGGCGAAGGTGCCCGAACACCCCGGGTGTGTACGAGTACTTTGTACACGGGAAAAGATCGCAGTTCATTCGCTATTGAATGAGGACCAGACGTAAACTCGGGTGAGACGATCTCAGTCTCTCTCTGTTATCGCGACCGAAAACATCCGGGTACTTTTTAACGTAGCCGGAGTTTTAACTTCAATCGAGATAATTGGGAGTTATTGACTAATAAGAACGTCCTGCAGAAATCTTTCTGTTCCTACCCGTCCAGCGTCATGTATGCCACACCGTACTTTCTAGTTCGAGAGTTTCACGATATTTTCAGCTTTGCACATATATTGTTAAGTTGATACACATTATAATTGTTAGGTTGATACAAAAGCTCGTTCCGTTTCTTAATCAGTTCTTAGTAATTCCAGAATTTTTACGAATGGGGGATCGCACAGGCATCGAAGAGATGGCAGGTAATCGGAACAAATATATTCGCGTATATCCAGCGAACACCAACTAACAGTAACAATAACATCAGTGTTATAATTTCCTACTCAACAATTTAAATGCAATATAACGCGCGTATTATGAAACAGTTGTTGAGCGAGAAATTATAATATTGACGTAATGTTACTGTTAGTTGGTGTTCACTTAATTGATTCGTTGTATTTTGAAATAAATAAATGTTATATGTGTATTTTGATTAAAAAAAACAGAACGAGCTTTTGCAACAACCCGATGTAATTACGTCTACAGGGTGAGGCAATAACTATCAGCACCTTGAATATCTTCAAAATATATGTCAGAGCGAGAAAAATATTTACCCAACAGATATTGCATTGTAGTTCTTTGCTTTATGAACACTGTGCCGTTGGAGTGATTGTTACTTTTTTATTTTCTTTGAATCTTTTGTTTCGCCTTTAAAAAAGTTAGTTATTGACCATGATTTCCTGTTACCGAGACTTTTTTTTGCAAGAGTTCGAGTAAGAAAAAAGTGAGAGAAGTAAATTTTTTCTTAAAAGTGAGGAAAAATAAGGTGTTTCTAAAGAAATAAGAAAAGTGAATCACCCCCTTGTTTACATTTACAGAAGCTCTCCTCTTGATTTTAACGGAACTATATATTTCTTCGTGTAAGCAAGTTTTATCTTCACATAAGATTACATATTGTTGCTTATATGTGAGAATAAGTCTCGAATTGACACCAATTTTTTTTTTCCGCGTACACAGAGAAAAAGATTTCTTTAGTCTTAGTATTTCTATTCGTTTGACTTAAAATTTGTTTCACGCGGGAGCGACACAATATTATTTGTTTGAGTAAAAAATTTTATTGTCGCACTCGAGGAAACTCGATTATTTAACAGAAAGAACGCTATCATCAGTCAGAAACATCAGTTTCTTTGCAGCATGCCGATGATGAAATCTCTTTGGATGCGATAAGATTGATTAAACTTGAAGAGATCCTTTTCTCAGTGCGTAACGTCGAAAATCGCGCGGGTAATTCTAGTTGTGACGGTGAGGAGAGGCAGACGCACACATATGAGACAATGTGTAGAACCGAGCTTTCGTCGGCCGCCTGAACGGCGGCAGAGATTCATTCGCACCGGCTTATTCTCTCTATCCCGTGGACGCGGGTAAACGTGCGCACGGTACACGCGGGCGGATCAATCGTTATTCCGTCGCCGGGCGTACGGATCCTCGGGGATTAATCCGGGGAAAACGTTCTCGATCGCAGAGTCGACGACCGAGCTGATATCGGGCCAGTACGGCGGCACGTCGGCCCAGCTGATATACGGCACCTTCACGACCCCGGTGAACAGCATCAGCGGCTCGGCGGTATGCGCGTTCTCGCTGCAGGACATCGCCGACACCTTCAACGGCAACTTCAAGGAGCAGACCGCCCTGAACTCGAACTGGCTGCCGGTGCAGGACACGAAAGTGCCGGATCCGCGGCCCGGCCAGTGCACCAACGACTCGCGCACGCTGCCGGACCTGACGCTCAACTTCATCAACACGCACTCGCTGATGGACGAGTCGGTGCCGAGCTTTTTCGGCCAGCCGATCGTTATACGCACCAGTTTCCAGTAAGTGGATATCTCCCAGCGAGCTCCGGCCGTGCCGAGCGATTTCAACCGGAATCCAAATTGGACGTAAACGACGCGCTTTTTCTCGCGCGGCGTTCACGGGCTTTTATCCACGCATCGCCGCGTCGCGCGCAGTTTTCGCCACGCGGAATGCGGTTTACGGCGCCGATAGACCGGCTTTTATTCGCATTCGCTGTTTTCTTTCTCGCTACGTAGCGAAACAGAGCGAGCGATAAATCCTGCCCCCTCGATCCGTCGTCTCGCTGATGACACGGTCGTTCCCTCAGTTACAGATTCACCCAGATCGCCGTGGACCCTCAGGTGAGGACGCCCGGCGACAAGACCTACGACGTCCTCTTCATCGGCACGGACAACGGCAAGGTGATCAAAGCTGTGAACGCCGAGTCCGCGGACTCCCACCAGAAGGTCAGCCCGGTCGTGATCGAGGAGATTCAGGCGTTCCCGTCGACGGTGCCGGTGCGCGGTATCAAGGTGGTCCGCGCATCCCAGGCGGGCGACGGCCTCGAAGACGGCCGATTGGTCGTAATCGCCGACAGCCAGGTGCAGGCACTGAGGCTCCATCGCTGCTACAGCGACCGGATACTCTCCTGCGGCGAGTGCGTAGCGCTGCAGGACCCTTACTGCGCCTGGGACAAGGTGGAGGGCAAGTGCAGGGCGCTGGTCGGCCCGGCGGCCACCGACGCCAATAGATTCCTGCAGAGCGTCGCCACCGGCATACACGCGTCCTGTCCGCCCAGCAAGAGCCTCAACAAGGACGCCGGCAGCGTAGGCGCCATATCCGCGAATCAGAACAAGTTCCCGCAGGACTCGATGATACCGAACAAGGATAGCCAGGGCGGGGAGATCATCAATATCATGCAGGACGAGGAACAAGATAATTCAGGTGCGCGACGTACACATTTTCCCATTTTGCGGAACGCAAACTAGAATCGCTAGCCAGTGACCGGCCAGGAATTCTGGTCGCTGTCTAGAAACCACGTAGAAAGAAAAGTGCTAAAATCAAATCCTAATAGGATCCTGATAGAAACGTGTGCAGTTTTCCTAGATACTTCTTTTTTTCAGCGTAGCCAGTTTGTTCGACGTTTGTTAGCAATAACTGGACGGTAAAACTAGGTTTCTAGGCGGAAAATCGGAATCTAGAACGATAACTGTTCGATAACTGAGAAAATCAGATTTAGATGAAACTAGCCATGAGTTAGCTAGAAATTAGTCGGGCGAAATATATCAATAAATGCCAGTCAATTTCAGGCTAACAAACAGTTTTCCCCGGAAACATTTCCGCTCGGGTTGGTGCGCGAACGAACACGCGCGGATTTCCTCGCCGGCGGACTCCGCAATTCGTCTCAATTCACATGCTTCGTTTGCTTCAGGCCCGGAAGTGTCTGCCGCTGATACACCTCCGCCGCAGTACTCGGTGGAGACTCTGGTGATGGCTGTGGTAGCCGGCGCGGTGTTCGCACTGTGCGTCGGATTCGTGGCCGGTTACATGTGTGGGAAGAAGTGCAGGAAAGATGAAGACGACAATCTACCGTATCCGGACACGGAGTACGAGTACTTCGAGCAACGGCAGAACGTGAACAGGTAAGGATATCTTTTTCTCTGTCGAGACGAGGTGGAACCGTGTTTGAAGCCGGATACGTACTGAGCGAACGAACAAGGAACGAACAGCGAGTGCAAACTGTCGTCGTTGCAATTTGTCAAATGTACACGCCATAACGAATCCGAGCGGAACGAATTTACGGGCCTTTATACTTATTTTATACTCTGGAGAAAAAGATTCCTTTGGATTTGATCAAATTTCTTTACTTGAAACAAATTTATTTTTTGGAATGGAGCGAACAAACGTGTTTGATTCAACAAGCAGGATTGATTTGGTTTGGTTTCTTAAACGATAAGTATCTTTACGTCAAATAACATATTTCTTTTATATTTTCATTCACACGTTACGATGGTTGTTACATGCGATAAATATTTTGAAAGAAGTAACACCATGTTAGAAAAGTATTAAAGAACTTCTTTATATTTCAATGGAACGATATTTAATATATAATGAAATAAATATTTTTATTCAAAAGAAATATTATTTTCTCTGTACAATATTATTTTTTTCTATCGAACAACATGATTTATCCCAGCGGAGCAACAACATTTTCCCCCAAACAGAACAATATTTGATACCAAATTATGTTGTTTGTATTAAACAAATCCAAGCCAAGCTAAATTCAGTGAAACTTTTTCCTCTGTATAGGAGCTAAAGCACGGATTTTATAGTACTATTTTAATATTAATATCGTCAATATTAATATATTTGTGAGAGAATACAATGCTCATATATGTGCATTAACGCATGGATTATCCTCCGACCTATATACGCGGCAAATCCTTACACGTTAGATATATATCCGCCTCTTATATTCCTATTTAATATAATTCCTTTTATTAACCCGACCCATTTAAATCCTTATTAAGCGTTGCGAAAAATACTACCTCAGTCAGAACCTGGACCTCCCCGTTAACCGGGCGAGATGTTGCGCCAATTCGGTCACCCGCATGTCGGCAGTATTTATCGCAGCGATCAGTGTTTATAAACTCGTAATATGTTATTTACACGAGACAAACAAGCGTATTCTTTAACATAAATAAATAACGTAATGTAATATAACATAAACAGAATATACGTGATCGACATAATTGTTGAACGTTCGCTTACACTAGCAACATCAGCTTTGTGAAGCTTGCGTGGAGTTTCACACACACTCGCTGTTCGTTCGTTCGTTGCACCTTCGCTCCCGATGTACACCTGTTTTAACATCCGTTCGCTCGCACCTTCCAGCAGGTTACCGCCGGAGCCGAAGCTGCTGCCGCAGGAGGAGGTGACGTACGCGGAGCCGGTGCTGGTGCCGCAGCCGCCGAAGCTCCAGTCGCCGAAGGGCACGATGAGGAAACCGCCGCCCACGCCCACAGAGACTCTCTTCCAGTTCCCGGACGGCTACGGCTTCCGCGGCGCCAGGGACAACTTCGGCACCCTGCGCTCCCACCAAGGCGACGCGTATCGCCGCAACGACGGCTTTGCGACCACGCGCAGCGTCAAGAAGGTTTATCTCTGAGAAACGAGCGAGGAGGGGGGCGGCCGTCACCGGAGCCTAGGACGGCCAACGCGCAATCGCCACAACGCGACGACAGCCGGCAGGAGTAATCGCGCTGTGACGTCCGGGGGACAGTCGAATCGCGAGCTCGCCGGCCCGAGGGCACTGGAGTCACCCTCGCCGTCGTCGAGCGTGTCGTCGAGTTCCCCGTCCCCTCCCTCCTCGTCACCCTCGCCTACCCTCGTACCGATCGCCATGAGCGGCAATCAACCGCCGCCACCGCCAACGCCACCCTGCAGCTTCATCTATCGATCATAGTCGTCGTCGTCGTCGTCGTCGTCACCATCATCGTCGCCGTCGCCATCGCGGTCGTACCCTGCTTTCTGCTCGACGACGCGGGGGGATGGAGAGAGAGAGGTGGAGACCGAGCGAGCGTTCTTACAACAGTCCTAGTGCGCGTTCCACCAAAAGTGTACGTAGCGGGGAAAAGGAGGAGAGATCGAGAAGGGTGATGAAGGCAAGGAGATCTCTCGCGGTACTTCGATTCGGACATACCGCGGCACAACTCTGTTTCGTCGTCGTCGTCGTCTTCGATATCGAATCTTTCCGTTCCGGTATTTTTCGTTTCTCGACAGGAAGAAATCAAACAAAGAAACAAACGGTAAAACGAGATTGCTTTTTGTAATGTCCGGGACATTGTGATCTTTCGTCCGGCGTCGATCGAGTCTGCGCGAGGCGTTTGCATCGTTGTTATCGATAGATGCTTGCTGCCGACGGGACTCGACTCGGCGGCGGTGATTGCCGTGAGGAGGAGGAAAATCCGATCTCGGTCGCACGATTTTGTGAATCGTTCCGTCGCGAGCGTGTCGGGTAAGGACGACCAGCAGCCGACTGTGCTGCACGACTGACTCGTCGTCTTCGCCTACACACACCCACACACACACACACATTCACGCGCGAGGCACATCGCGGCGTTCTGAGAAACGGCGTTTCGTAATTCTCGTCTAAGAACGACATTCCAGCCGGAGGTGGTTCCCGTTTCGATCTTAACGTCGAGCTTCAAGCTCGTCGTTTGTCCGCGCACACGGGAGGCGAACAACGAGAGACGGGCGCGAGTCTCTTAGCATAGCGAACGTCGATCATCGTAGGTCTTTAGCGCCGATTAGCGCGAAAGAGGGAGCGAGAGCGAAACCCGAGGACGAGAGAGAAAGAGAGAGAGAAGAGGAGGAGGAGAAGCACGAGAAGAAGACTCTACGATCGTCGGCCGCTCGAACACGTAGAAGAAACTCGGGTAAACTTTTCCTCGGTGATTAGGCTCGATTGACAAAATAGTGCGAACGTTACACGCGACGGTTCGCGACGAAAATGTCGTAATCTCCACTATTTTATTAATTGACAATTAGTAAATCGAAGTCGACGTGTAGTTGTTAAAGGAAAAGGAGGAAAGAAAAAAAAAAAGGGGGGATAAAGAAGGGAAAGAAAAAACCGCGCGACATAGTACTACGACGAGGCTTTTTTCATAAAGTCAATTAAAGGAGACTATCCGCAAAACTCGAAACACGCAATTTTTCTAATGTTGTAATATTTAATACGAGTGATCGATAGTGCCATTATATATAGACCACGTAACACTGCTGCGTGCCTCGAAATTGAAAAAAACGATCGTGAATGCCGATCATCAATGTTGTTGGCCGAATGTTCTTTCGCGATTGGCCAAAGTGAATCGCAGTTGATTGCAGTTTCTGATTACTTGTTGTAAATAACTGCGGTCCTCTACTCTATCATTATATATCTTTCATTTCTCGCGAACGCGTTTCTTCTCACACCCTTCGTGTGTCGCTCTCGCGATTTACTTCCTCCGGTATATATTTATCGTTTTCGCGATTCTGCACATATATATATATATATACATATATATATATATATATGTAGTCGATCACCGCGTGAGAGAACGCCGTTGGATTCAAAGGTTCGCTCGGACACGATGAGGTAATCCTTTCGAGCGCGTTTACGCGACACGTGAATGTTGAATTTGCACACATTTCATGACGTTTTTCGACGTTTTAACGGAACGTACGCTTGAGTTACATCCCCCTCCCCCCCTCCTCCCCTCCCTCCCCTTACCGATGATATATATAATCTTGGTTATCGTAGTCGGATACACACATATGCATTCGAAAATTTGCATCATGCATAAAATCGTGGAGATTGCTATATTGCGTAATTTAAGGATACGTTACCGATATATCCACCAGTAGCGGCCAACTAGCGTAGACTACTGCTAATACGTTGCTGCTGTCCACACAGGGATATGTTGAAACGGTCGTTCGAAGACGATGCTACTTTTTAGTTTCTCGCGTGCGAACGTTGGTTCATCTAGTTCTGTGTATGCTTCGGAGACGCGCGTTCTCAGCGCCTGCACATATACGTAATAGGAGAGCGAAAAAAGAAGCGATAGAGAGAGAGAGAGAGAGAGAAGGGGGAAAAGTGAGAGAAAGAAAAGAGAGAGAGGAGCGGGAGAGGAGGAAACTGAGATAGAGAAGCACAGCGCTTATGTACATATAATACATATATACAAAAACATATACATCAAGTTAGGGGTTTTACGGCGGGAGAGGAGCGGAAACGGGAACGAATACGGGAAATCAGTCCATCTAAACCTGGGGCCCGATGGTATGTGTAGACGTCTATCTTAAAAAGTGCTTCTTATTTCGGTGTGTTTAGAAGTAACATGTATGTGATATATTCTATATGGCGAGAGAGAGATAAAGAGAGAGGGAGAAAGAGATATATACTCTCTCCTAACATCAGAGAGTAAAAAACGTGGAAAGAGAGAGAGAGGGAGAGTTTAAAACTTAAAGAGACTCTCTCTCTCTCGACGGACTTGAGACAAGACGGACGCACGTGGTAATGATGAATTTCACACTGTCTTTCGTTTCACAAGAATTCGTCGTCGCGCTTCGTATCTTTTTTCTACGGTTCTTTGTATCCATTTTGTACGCGCATACAACGTGTGTGTGCGTGTGTAACAGAGCAAGCAGACCACGTTGATTTCGACATCTCTGTCTCCCGCAATTCTACGGCGTCGCGAAAACGAAGAGAGAGAGAGAGAGAAAAAAAGAATAAACAACAAACAGAGAATGAAAATGTAGTAGGAGAAGCTCTCTACATTCCAACGCAGACTTGTCTTTCATCGTGGAATTTTGTGAACAATCGGTCCCTTCGACACGCACACAACACACAAACCTGAGAAAGAACGTACGCGGCTTGTAGATTCCTCGTTGGGTCCCGTTGTTGATCGCACCTTCTCTTCGTTAACCGATCGTTGCAGCGTGACGTTCATTTCACGAGAAGGGAGATACATTCCGAGAGCTCGTCCGAGAATCATCCCTCAAACGTTAAGACTGAACAGATCCCCCTTAAGGGCGAGCCTCGAGTCGTTCCTTTACACTTCCCTCGCGAGTTTTACGATCACGGTGGACGGGAAAGGGGAAGGCCCGTTCTTTCGTTCATGTTTATTTCCTAGCGACACGAGTACAAATTTCGATCAAACTTTTTTATCGCGTTACCCCCAAGCGATCCCCGGTTTCGCAAGCACAAATTACCCCCTGTCACGCTTCCGCGTTCGGGAAGCTCGCGGAATTTCGTCGGAGTTTTGCGTTGAACCCTAACGACACACGGAATCGGTCCTCGTAAATCAGCGCGGGCCCCGTATAATAAAACCGGCAATGCGACGGACGGACTGACGGACTGACGGGGGAAGTATCCCTAACGCTCTAACGACTGTCAAACGATACGCGCGCACGATTGTTGGAGTGTCTACGAACTGCCACGCGGCACGCTGTAATTGTAGATTATGTATAGGATAAAATCCGATATTTTGATGCTTGAAGCAAGTAGAGGTAGCAGGAACACCGACACAAAACACTCCCCCCGCTCTCTGCGCGGGAGGTTTACGAAGCTGCCATGTAATCGATGACCCGGGCGACGGGAGTGCCTCGTCGGCCGCGCATTTAATTCACCCTTCGACTCCGGAGCCGAGTGGTAGAGCGTTTTTCTAATCGCTCGTTCGTTTCGCGCCGTCGTCGCGCGCCGCGAACGGGCTTGGTATTCTTCTTTCTATAAGTTTGATACGAATACACAACACGAACGAATTGCCCAATTCGCGACTCGTAAGCCGAGTGACAAAGGTTTCTAACGATTGTTGTTCAGCGATTGTTTCGTCAAAGACCGAAGACTCAGGCATGATATACCAAAGAATATTAATTGTAAACTAGAGACACCGTTGGTCATTGTGATGGTTAATCGTTTAGAGGCGCACAAAACGGTAATTCATTAACGATAGGAAGGTGGCCCGCCTTGCACAGGACTCGGACACGGTTTATACACGAACGTGTGCGCGCGACACGCGGCACACGGATTATAAGGGAAAAAAAAGAGAAGTGAAGAAGAAGACAAAGAAAGAGAGAGAGAGAGAGAGAGAGGGACGTACAAGAGAGAGCTAGAGAGAAGGAAGGATACACACGTGTAAGGATGTTCACCTTATTAGCGAGTTTTAATAATCATGTTGACGACACACTAGTTGGGAGACACTCGCGAGATTCAAATCGTAGAATTGTACTAAACGTTGGAATCAAGTAATGCATGAAAAAAAAAAAACAAGCAGAGCGATCGTGCACCACGAAAAATATTTTTCAAGAGAGAGAGAGAGAGAGTGAGAATGAGCAAGAGTGGACGTGAGAGCGAAAGAGAGAAAGAAAGAGAACGAGATGCGTAGCGGTAGCTCGGTGTTCAAAAAAAATAAATAAATAAATCAGAAGTCTAATAAGCTTACGATATTATTATCGAGCGTTGATGCTTTAATAAAAGGAAAATAAGTAAAAAACGAAAAAAAAACGAAGATTTGTATAAACGTGTTCAAGGAGCTCGTACGTTCATGTTGTTTAAGCCAATAAGGAACGGATTCCATCCAAGACAATGATCGCGATCGAATGAGGTCGATTAGAGCGACATTCGACGGTGTAAATGAGTTCGTTTGTTCGGCGTTTGTTATACGGGGGCGGTGTAAAGAAGAAGAAGAAGAAAAAGGAGAAGGACGTTGTTCGATTATAAGCTTCTCGCGTGATTTGCGTTAATAACGATGTCGCAGACGGGAGACCTAGAGAAAGAGAGAGAAAGAAAGAGAGAGACGATGTTTCATGCATTATTTCATTTCAATTCCACGGAACCCGAGTTATTTGTCTGTATATTTAAACGGCGGGTGCTTTAGCCAGTCAGAAGCGATTATAAATTGACGGAAGGGGCAAAGAGTGAACCTAGGTACACGCAACAAACATATACACACATACATGCGCACACATATATACACTAAGAGAAAGAAAGCGGATCCCCTCTCGTTTGTGAACGGGGATCCCGGACAGATGATGAGATGTATGTGTGAGAGATGCGACTTGTGAGGATGGAAGCTTAGAGATAAGTAGAAGATTAATAATGGTACATACGTATAAATATATATAAATATAAATATATAANATCTGATTATTATATCGAGATCTAGCGTTAATTCGGAACATCTTAGACATCATAGTTTTACATGATAGGCGAATTGTACGAATTGTAAGTCACTTAACTGAGAAAGAGAGAGAGAGAAAGAGAGAGGGGAGAAGAGAAGAGGGAGAATTAGTACCTAATGTTAAACAGATTTACTACTAGCGTTGAACATCCGAAACGGGGGTCTTCTTCTCTCCGCGGCCCACTCCCCCTATTACCCCCTCCCCCCCTTCCTTCAGCCCCAGCCGTCGGAGGACTTCGCCGATCAGACGTTCCGTTTAAAGTGTGGCACACAAGCACGCACACCAAGTGAAGAGTATATATATCTATATATATAGTATATATATAAATATGTGTATATGTAAGAGAGCCGACAGAGAGAAAGAGAGAGAGAGAAAGAGAGAGAGAGAGAGAGAGAGAGTGTGTGTGTGAGAAACAAAAAAAAGAAAGGACTTTGTATTTTTCGAAATTCGCGTTTCAACGAAAACTCATTGCCACGACGGCCAGAAGAGAATCGCGATCGTTAATCATTATAAACGCGACCGAACGACCGCGGAGGAACGAGACTCCCTTTTCGCGCTTTGTAATTAAGTGAGAAAGAGCGATGTGCGGCGTGAGAAAACGAGAAAAAAAAATAAGGGTCGGCGGAACGCGTTTCGGCCGCTTCCGCCGTCCCGTTGTGTGCGTTCTTCACAGTCTGACGAGCGAGAGAAAAAAAAAAGTTTGAAAGAAAGAAAAGGGAAACAGTGTCGACGATGTTTTTCCGGCGGGGGTCGCTGAACGCCCGCACGAAGCTGTGTAAAGTGAGCAAGAACACTAATAATAATAATAATAATAACGATAACATTAATAATAATAATAACATTAACGATAAACAGTATGATAATTTACACTTAAGAATAATCATAATGTAATAACAACATTGCGATACAAGAGGATTTTTAAAGAAAAAAAAAAAACAACACTATAGCATTTATCAACGATAAAGTAACGAGAATGTAACATGTATTTTGCTTCTTCCTAATACAGTGCCGTTTACGCTATTTTTTACTGTAACTACTAGAGCTCGGCGAAGTGTGCGTACCGAGACGGAGGCGGCGCCCCGGCAGCATGCGCTACTTAAAAATCGCCGGTCTGTATATTTAGTCGGCCATGTATATCCTTCAGAGTAAAACGTTCGCGAAAAAAAGAAAAAAACGCGCTAATGTGACTTCGGCGCACTCGTTTATACTCGTGTTCCGCGTCGTCTCGTTGTCGTGGTCGTCATCGTCATCGCCGTCCTCTTCGTCGGAGACGACGACGACGACGGTGAACGAAGAGGCAAGCACGCACAGACACATTCAGGAACGCGCGCCCCACTCGGACGTCTCAGTCGATGTTCACCGTCGTGTCCTCGTGCGCACATCCTCGCGGTTCCTCCTCGTTCCGGATGGGAGATCGCTCGCCGTGGAGACCCGACGACGATGTATTCCGAATTGTATCTCCGACAAGGCCGTCTCTCGATCGCCCGGATCACAGCGCGACATTCCGCTCGGCCGCCACGAGCGGGCGGGCGCGCGCGTTCCTTCCGGCGGAGACTGGAGTCTCGCGGGCGCCTCGCGATCGCCTTCGCGCCGCGAACGCACACTACTCGTTATTCGATCGTATGTTATTACTCTTGTACTAATCGTTATAGACGCGCTCGCGAGGCGAGGCATGCGTCGCGTTCGCGAGACGTCGTCGTCGGGACGCGGCGACGACGACGACGACGACGACGACAACGCAGGCGACGAGAGACGCAGAGAGACTGTACATTAAAAATATAAAATAGCGTGTTGCGGAGAGAGAGCCGATGCAACCTTGCGATCTTTAGCGTTTAAGGGTCCCTAATTAATTAAGTCGCCGCTATTATCGCTCCGTACACACGCACACGCGCGCGCACACTCGTACACCCGCGGGCGGCCGCGTGCACGCGTCGTACGTAG